GCAAGGCATGCCAGTGCTGCAGTTACCACAGACGCGAGGTTCTATGGCAACAGACCCACTCCCTGGGGAGCCTCAGCCCAGCTGGAAGCTATAGTGCCAACTAAAGCCCTGAAACTGGTAAAAACAAGTCTTTTAACTAATGACTTTGCAACTGTGCATGTACCGCGGTCCATCTATCAGGCGTGGCCTCCCTCACAGCAGAGGGCAGGACATCAAAAAATAAAACGAGAATTCTACCTTCTAACGGCCAATCTGGGAACCTGGGAACTCCTGATCTGTCAGGAGTGATGGAGGGTGGTTGGGATCTGAAGGTAGATATATACCTGTGTGCCCAGGCGGCAGCATGTGGTGTGTCTGCTCTCACCAAGGAGGGACTCCTCTAGGAAAACAAAGACAGTGGTGCAGTTCTGGAAGAGTGCAGAGCTGGGAAAAGAGGAGTTGAGAAAGGCAGGTTGAAAGGATATTAATAGTTCATGAAGTAAATCAGGGTGCAAATAAAGGTTTACAAAGCTAAAAAGAATAGAGGAACTGACCCGACCGGTTTGGGGAAGTGGATTTTACTGAAAATTAAACCAAGGAATACAACAGAGACAAAATATCTGCTTGTTTTTTATGGACACCTGCCTTTTCGGGTACAGGTTGAGGTGTTTACATAAATCAGAAATAGCTCAAGGTGACAATTAAAAAAGTATTAAGACATTCCTAGATTCAGGCTATCTGAGGCATAGAAGTTGGACAATGAAGCCCAGCCTTCAGGCACAGGTATGCGAAAGGGTCTAGCCAGAGCATTGAGGAATAAAGTGGAAATTGTTGTGCATTATGGTGAGCTGAGGTCAAATTGAAAAGGATGAATCAGACTCAAAGGAGACAACAAATTGTCCCTTGAGACTGGCGAAAATTGGCAAATGTTTTTGCCTTTGCCCTTTTAAACACGTTGTACTCATTTCTCAAAAGGGATTGTCCCCTTACAAAATCTTATTTAGCGAAGACCCTCACACCTATCTTGCCGAGGCTAGGGGCCGACATAAAGGAACAGCTAGAACAGGACCAGCTACTTCAGCCTACATCATGACACAAAGGAAATAACAAGCTTTGCCCACTCCTCCTGCTTCCCTGCTGAACCAGTTTTAGTTTGGGGTCAGAGGTATGAACCCTCTAAAACACCCTGGAGCCCAGCTGGAAAAGGACTGCACAGTGATCCGACCCCACCATGGCTGTGTGAGGAATGAGCAGGTGTGTCAGACCTGGATTCATCATAAGGTTAAAAGAAAAAAAACACCTTGAGGCTTACCCAGGACTGATGTTGAGGGACAGAGCCTGATGACGGGAAGGTCAAGAAAGCACCCAGAGGATCAAGATGGGCCGATAGGAGATAACAGGGGTTTGTATGTCTGCTTGGAGTGTGAGGCACCTTGTCTTATTGGCCTGCCAGCCCTATCACAGGAAAGGAATTAGTAACATCTAGAAACCTCAGTACTTATGCTTTTTTAATTTCTTGTTAGAACTATATGTGTGACCTGGTAGAAGAAGAATAGGGGTTACCAAACAGGCGCTCTCCAGGAGCTGGCCAGGGGAGGAGAACAATTGTGGTTAGCAGGGAAATACAGGGCCACTAAGAAGCTGAAAGTGGCTAAGATGCAGACAGAAAAATAGGAAAGGAGAGGTTAGCTCCTGGGTGCCAAAATGGGTTTGTGAGATGTGGCCCCTAGTTGGAGGCAGGGACCTTGACCCCTCTCCTTAAATTTGGGCTCCCAATGTGAGCCCAGGAAAAATGCAACTAACACTTGGCTCAATACTGCAATGTTCTAGAATTACTATGGTGTTTTGCCAGGAACCTCAGACCTCATTGTGCACTCAGGGTTCAGTGATAGTACCTACAACCTCATGAAGGGACCTCAGGTGAGATTGCAGTGTGGTGTCACTGAGTTGTGGGGTGAAATCACCAGAGCCGAGGAACCTTAGGGAGGCCAGCAATAGTGTGCTCTGCCTTGGTCTGCCTAGCTCTACGTGCTGCTCCCCACCATGTGAGCCCACTGCTATTGCTACTTCAGTTAGCTTATGGGCTATGCACTGCCATATTGGTTGTACGGTATTAAAGGGTAGGTGAAATAAGAAATTTATGATTAGATTACACTATGCGGCTTAGTTCCTTCGTGAATCAAAGGTTAGATTCCCAGGACAAGAAAAAAGGAAATGTAGGGGCAACCTGTGTGCCAAAATTAATCTGTTTTGCTCACAATTAACAGCCTTATCCTATCAATCAAAGGGATATGGATTAAGCAGTTAGTTGGGGCAGAGCCTGTTTGTTTT